GCTTGTTGTAGTTGGGCCAAACGAGAGGCTTCGGCAGCGATTCTCTCAAAGATATCGTTGACGAAGGAGTTCATTATGCCTCATGGCCTTGCTGGAAACACCAGTGTCAGGGTGCACCTGCTTTAGGACTTTGTAGATGTAAATGGCATAAGATTCCTCCTCCTCTTCCTCCTTTTCTTGTCTGTGCTCCTCGGTGTCTTGGCCTTGGTGACTGCTTTCTTGGCGCCTTTGGATCCGACTTTGGGTGGCATGATCTCAAGTTGACAGGTCAAACTGAAGAGATGAATAAAGTAAAATGGTAAAATTTACTATTTATATGCGAGTAGGAGGAGAAGCTTGTTACGGACCTCCGAGAAAAACATTACTTGTTCGGATTTCACCTAAAGGCACAACAGAGCGACGCGTTAATTGGCTGCACCGTTGGATCCGCTTGGTTGTTTAAATTGGTGCGTGCGGGCGTCGCTGGATTATTCGTTGACTGTACACGAAAGAACATAACCGATAAGAATGTCCTGGACGTGGCAAAGGAGGCAAAGTGAAGGGGAAGGCCAAGAGCCGTTCTTCCCGCGCCGGACTGCAGTTCCCCGTGGGTCGTATTCACCGTCTGCTGAGAAAGGGCAACTACGCCGAGAGAGTGGGAGCAGGCGCTCCCGTGTACTTGGCTGCCGTTCTTGAGTACTTGGCCGCAGAAGTCTTGGAGTTGGCAGGCAACGCTGCCCGCGACAACAAAAAGACCAGAATCATTCCCCGTCATCTGCAGCTGGCCATCCGCAACGACGAAGAATTGAACAAACTCCTGTCCGGCGTGACCATCGCGCAGGGTGGTGTCCTGCCCAACATCCAAGCCGGTGCTCCTTCCCAAAAAGACACAGAAAGCCGCCAAGTAAAAAGATCCTATAGTTGTGTTGTGTGCAGCACAAAACCAAACGGCCGTTTTCACGGCCACATAAGCTTTTCGAAAAGATACCTACATTACAAACGAGTTGAAACGTAAACAATTATTATAGCTAGAAAATAATAGAAACACACGAATTCAATAATTTTCAACACAGAACAGAGATCAAACATCAAAGAAAGTGTTATATATTTAATGATAAATAAATGTATTAAGTTAATAACAAAAGCAATAAATTTTAAAATTGACTCGCATGTATATTCGTATATGTACGTTTTTTTCTTTCTCGTTATAGGCAGTTGAATCCAAACCTTATAGGCCTGCGTACAAATGTTGAATTCTCACGTATTACTTGAATGCTCACTCAACAAAGAGATAAGAAAAAAAAAAACCCATTTCATTGACCAATTAAGACTAGAAACTGCGAAAATCATCTAACATGGCGATCTAACTTTCAATTTTTTTCCTTTGATACAAATATTTTTAAATATGATCATTATTTTATTAACATATTCAAAAGATCTGTAACTCAGTTAAATCCTTAATGTTTCTTTTTTTCCCCCTCGCTATTGTTTTATATGATGATTATTTAGACAAAATTCCTAATTGATAAAAATAGATAAAAGTTATGAATATAAGAATCTCATAAGAATAAGAAGATGTGGTTTATATTATGTCTTGAATGTTCTTATTCAAAAAAGTGTGCTTCCATAATAAGAGTGAATAAAAGCAACTCGATGCCAGTTTCCGGATACTTACAGTACTAACACAATTAAAAACTGGTAGTAAATTTTCTTCGAATAGACTACCGATGCGAATGACTAAACGACATTTTTTTCAACACTTTACATTTATTGCGATGTCCATCACTGCGCCGTGCAGCACATCTGCATCGTCACGTGACATATAGATGCAGGGAATCATGATCTGCACGTGGAAAGTGTGCAACCAATTTGATGCTTCTATCAATGTATTGTATTGTCTTGTATTATATACTGGTTGTCTTGTTCAACTTGAAAGATATAGATTTTAAATACATTGGCTTTTGACCACATTCTGTTTATTTACATGTACTCAATTATTTGTGTGTGTAAATTACAAGAAACAAATTAATATCAATGAATAAGCTACTCCCATTATTCGCCTTGTTCGTCTCTCTCTGTCTCTCTCTTATGTATAACTACTAATTAAGTGAGTGTTCTACAATTATTAAATACACGCCCTTTTTATGTGATTTTTTTTTTTCATGTAATTTACAAGGATGTCAGTTATGTATATTCTTATGATATAATTATACTGAGAAATTCAGACGTTGTACCACCGAATGTGGTACGTTACGTACGGTCTGGATCTTTCCGGTGTCCTCGGTGTTATAATTATAAAGTAGGTGTCATGTATTTAAATATTCGAAAAGAAATTATATGTTGTCCCTTTAAGGGGGTGAACATCCACTGATCTAGAAAGTATATTAGATATATATTTGAACATTCAACAATTTGTGAGATTCCGTGATTTCCCTTCATATGACCCTTTTGTTTGATTGTTTTTTTTTCTCTCTCTCTCCATTTCATATGAAATGCAAGGCACACATCACTATCCATTGTGCGCGTGTTTGTGCCGAATGTTTGCATTTTCATTCGGATTTTAAGTAACATAGAAGACAATTGAAAGAAATGTACATGTATGTTTTATCACATAGCAATGTAGTAAGTACTTCAATCCCTTACTCGTGTTCTATTCCTCTTGTTTTCGTGTTTTAATCAAAATTAGTCGCTTCTGGGCTCCAGGGAACAGCGCATTTTCAGAATCAACAGACAATTCCTCCTTTAAAATGACAGATTAAGAACCTTAAACAAAAACAGTTATGTAGGAAATTATTTCAAGAAAACGCACAGTGACATATTTGAGAAAATTAAGTAAAATTGGGAGGACAAAATCGGAAAAATAACAGGTATTGAAACACAAAGTTTGACGAGTTCAATCCTCTACGCTCTCGACAATTGGGGAGTTTTCACGGAGGTCCGCGCTCGCCGCCACTCAAATAAGGCCATCGGCGGAGGTGATTTCATTCATTTCCTTATCGTCGATAACGTCGTTCACATCAGTTGTAGAAAACAGGACAAAAAAATTATGGCAGACGCCGCACCAGCAAAATCCCCCGCCAAGAAGAAGGTTTCCAAACCCAAGACGGTCCCCGCCCATCCCAAGTACATCGAGATGATCAGCGCTGCTGTGGCTGCCCTGAAGGAGCGCGGAGGTTCCTCGAGACAAGCTATTCTCAAGTACATCATGGGCAACTACAAAGTCGGTAATGACGCCTCTAGTGTAACACCCATCTGAAGATGGCCCTCAAGAACGGAGTCAAGAAGGGAGTTCTCAAACAGGCCAAGGGTACAGGTGCCAGTGGTTCCTTCAAGCTGGGAGAGAAGCCCAAGACGGAGAAGAAACCCAAGACCAAAAAAGTCACCAAACCTAAGGCTGCCAAGCCCAAGAAAACGACCAAACCCAAGAAGACAACCGGGGAGAAAAAGCCAACAGAAAAGAAAAAGGCTGTTAAGAAACCTGCAGCACCCAAGAAGGCCAAGTCTCCCAAGAAGAAAGCAGCTACTAAGTCTCCCAAGAAAGCCAAGGCAGCTCCAAAGCCTACGAAAACCAAAGCGCCCAAGAAAGCCACAGCCAAGAAGTCAAAAACCCCAAAGAAAGCCACCAAGGCGTAGACTGCCAATTGTCTTAAACCAATTACAAAAGCCCTTTTCAGGGCTACCAACATTTTTAGAAAAGATGCCTCTATTACATACATGTACTAATGGAAACACAAAATGAATAAACAAGAAGTACACTTACCTATTACACATAGTTTATTTGTCTTCGACTGGAAGCAAATTGCAAAGTCATGATAATATTAACATGCTGTTTCTGAGAAGAAGAAGAAACAAAAGTCAGTTTTTAATTTGTTTACATACCCTCCCTCAAGTAAATAAAATTTTACTTTTTCCACATCACAACGCCTACGCTAACTATATGGCCATTATTATTAGTGTTATCATTCTAGTATATTTGTTTTCATGTTTTTTTTTTTTTTTTTTTTTTTTTTTTTTTTGTTTTGTTTTGTTTTGTTTTGTTTTGGTTTGGTTTTTTTTTTTTTTTTTGTTTTTTGTTGTTTTTTTTGTTGTTGAAGTTTTATTATTATTATTAATTTTTTTTATTTTATTTTATTTTATTTTATTCATTCATTTATTTTATTTATTTATTTATTATTATTATTATTATTATTTTTCTTTTTCTTTTTTTCTTTTTTTTCCCCACTTTATTTGGAATCAAATGTGGAACGAATGGAATAAAAGTTCATGCGTACCTTTTGAAAGACAGATACATACATTCTTATTCTTTTCATTTATTTATTCTTTTCATTTATTCATTCATTCATTCATTCATTTATTTAATTATTCATTCATTTAATTAATTATTCATTTATTTGTATTATTTGTTTTGTTCTTGTTTTTGCAACAGGGTAATTCCTGTTCATCCTATATGCACCATTCTGATTATCTGCAAGTATCATGATACTTAGTAATATTACTGGGCTTGTTCAGATAATGGTAGGAGGAAATAATGACAAGAAATATATAATATATATTTTTCGAAAATGCATTTTGCTTCAATAACGAATTGAAAATATATGTATATATATAATAAATAATTCTATTTTCTATTCAATTGACGTTACATTCATCCCCATTATTCACCATATATATATTTTTAAAAAAAATATTTGACTATATGTATCTGCAGTGAAATCATGTGTCAAAAACCGACTTGATTTTCTTTTTCTTTTGGGGCAATTCTGTGGATTGAAACTACCTACAGACGTAGCCAATGGTCATCTCGTTCACCTGACTAATCGTAGCGAGTGTTACTGCGGGCACCAGCCAATCGACTAAGCCGACTGGTAGACCGCAGCGATTTTCAACTTGAGCTTACAAAGATATATAAGTTCACGGTGCAACACTGCCACTTCATTCATTCGAGTTTGAATAATCTGAGGAGATAGCATGGCACGTACCAAGCAGACGGCACGAAAATCTACAGGAGGCAAGGCCCCCAGAAAACAGCTCGCTACCAAAGCTGCTCGTAAAAGCGCACCAGCCACGGGTGGCGTTAAGAAACCGCATAGATACAGGCCAGGAACTGTCGCCCTCCGTGAAATTCGGAGATACCAGAAGAGCACTGAGCTTCTCATCAGGAAGCTGCCATTCCAGCGCTTGGTCCGGGAAATCGCTCAGGATTTTAAGACCGACTTGCGTTTCCAGAGTTCAGCTGTCATGGCTTTACAGGAAGCAAGCGAAGCTTACCTTGTTGGTCTCTTTGAGGACACCAACCTGTGCGCCATTCACGCCAAGAGAGTAACCATCATGCCCAAAGACATCCAGCTGGCCAGACGTATTCGTGGAGAGCGTGCTTAATTTTAAGCTGTATTTCAAGTCCTAAAGCAAACGGCCGTTTTCACGGCCACCTACATTCTTCGAAAAGATGCCTTCTGTTCAGACGTTGAAACATCTCTGAAAATAATGTTGAATTATTTGGCCGAAATTAATAAATTTTGTCAAATTCGGCGTACAATGCCCCCAAATTGAAAAAAAAAAAAAAAAAAAAAAAATGTTGAGACACAGTACATCCTTCAGTGAATATATCTGTGCCTTACATATATATAATTACATAGCACAATGCTAGACAATTTCATAGTATTATTGTCATCATCAAGTTGTAGAAGTTGTCTACACATCTTGAAACTATATTTTGTACAAGTCCATCAACCTGCCCCTCTAGAATACATTCAAGAATTTTGCGAAATAAATTAGAAAATAGCACAATTATTTAAATAGAAAATGATGGAATGTGTCGAAGCAAAAAATAATAACAGTATTACAACTTTATCTCATTAGTTCTACAGCTATGCACATATGCGAGTACATGCATTTCAGAACTGCAATTCCGTATTTCATTTATATTCAAAGTATGATTTTTATTGATTTCTAAACAACGTCAAATATAACGATATTCATTCTAACGTGGCGTGTAATAAAATGAAAAAGGCTCATTTATAAAGCCGGTTTGGTCACTGCTTAAAGTTGCCTTTGAAAATTAACTGAGAAAAGAGGAAATCAAATAAATTATCACATCTATAACTAGATATCATAAATGAATGAGAATCAAAAGTTTCATTCAGCTTCTACATTTTGTATTATTTCGGTGTTATCTGTCACACCCCTTTCCTTTGAATAACTTAATCCCCACCCACCCAC